TCTCCCACGCGCCGCTGTGCGAGGAAACGCGGCACCTGGGTACTGATACACACAGCTGGGGTACAGATACACACACCTGGGTACAGCTGGGCACGCCTGGGTACTGATACACACACCTGGGCACTGCTGGGCACACCTGGGTACTGATACACACACCTGGGGGCACCTGGGGGCACCTGGATTGTGCTGATACCACACCTGGGCACACCTGGATGCTCTCAGTCCCTCCCAGTTTATCCCAGTTTAACCCATCCCAACTGACCCCAATCTGCCCCAGTTTACCCATTTAACCCCGGTTTAACCCTTTCCCCCCCAGATGCTGGCCGAGGACGCCGAGGCCGGGGCTCAGTCCCAGTTTATCCCAGTTTAGTCGATCCCAATTGACCCCAATCCATCCCAATTGACCCCAATCCACCCCAGTTTACCCATTTAACCCGGTTTAACCCTTTCCCGCCCAGATGCTGGCCGAGGACGCGGAGGCGGGCTCAGTCCCAGTTTATCCCAGTGTATCCCAGTTTATCCCAGTTTAACCCATCCCAATTGACCCCAGTCCCTCCCAGTTTACCCATTTAACCCCGGTTTAACCCTTTCCCCCCCAGATGCTGGCCGAGGACGCCGAGGCGGGCTCAGTCCCAGTTTATCCCAGTTTATCCCAGTTTATTCCATGCCAATCTCTCCCAATTGACCCCAATCCCTCCCAGTTTAACCATTTAACCCTTTCCCGCCCAGATGCTGGCCGAGGACGCCGAGGCCGGGGCTCAGTCCCAGTTTATCCCAGTTTATCCCAGTTTATTCCATGCCAATCACTCCCAATTGACCCCAATCCATCCCAGTTCACCCATTTAACCCCAGTTTAACCCTTTGTGGTGCAGATGCTGGCCGAGGACGCCGAGGCGGGCTCAGTCCCAGTTTATCCCAGTTTATCCCAGTTTATCCCAGTTTAGTCGATCCCAATTGACCCCAATCCCTCCCAGTTTACCCATTTAACCCTTTGTGGTGCAGATGCTGGCCGAGGACGCAGAGGCCGGGGCTCAGTCCCAGTTTATCCCAGTTTATCCCAGTTTATCCCAGTTTATTCCATGCCAATCCATCCCAGTTTACCCATTTAACCCTTTCCCGCCCAGATGCTGGCCGAGGACGTGGAGGCCGGGGCTCAGTCCCAGTTTATCCCAGTTTATCCCAGTTTAACCCATCCCAATTGACCCCAATCCCTCCCAGTTTAACCATTTAACCCTTTCCCGCCCAGATGCTGGCCGAGGACGCGGAGGCCAGGGCTCAGTCCCAGTTTATCCCAGTTTATCCCAGTTTATCCCATCTCAATTGACCCCAATCCCTCCCAGTTTAACCCTTTGTGGTGCAGATGCTGGCCGAGGACGCCGAGGCCGGAGCTCAGTCCCAGTTTATCCCAGTTTATCCCAGTTTATCCCAG